AAAAGCAGCAGCTTAAAATACTGTAACACTGTAGATTTCTCTCTCCCCATTGATAATCTGTGTGATTATTTCCACAAAGAGAAATGTCACCCCTTTTAAACTCTCTGACCATCAAGAAGTGTTTTGTCTATTGAAAACATTTTTACAAACATACAGCATTTATAGCATTTTGTACTCTGCACTCACAAACACTCTGATCAGTCTCAAATAACTGTTATTTACAACAACACACGTTAAACCCAGGCATTCTGTACCTCTTCCTTAACGACAAATTGTTTAGCTGTTTTTGGAACTTCTGTGGATTCCTCAGCTGCCATTTCCGGGAATGTCAGGCTTTTCCCCCCTGTGCAAAGTCCAGATATATATGAAACTAAGTCAATATTTGATTTCGGTGTAAAGTTAAAAGGTTCATTTCTGCATTCTAACCTAACAAATGTAGCTTGCTGGAGGAAGCCAGGGACATGTGATGGCAAGTTCAATTCACATTTTCGGCTCCACCTAATGGTTTCAGAGTCAAATAACTCAATGGAGAAATGTAAATTTGGATCAAACCCCTGACTTGCATAGTTCGAATAGTCCTATCAGCTGCTGAGTAGCTATGCTGGCCAAAGACACCCTTCTTAACTATTCAAATGTCAGACACACACACAGACAAAATTCATCCACTTCAGTCAAATTGTTTCATTCTCATCTGGGTGAAATGTTCTGCCAACAGTGTGTGGATAACAGGACCAGACACTCCACTGTGGAAGTGGAAAAAAACCCTTATACCAAGAGGATTTCAGTGGTGAAAACTGTCTGCTATTAGGAATCAAGAACTAGAACCTACCTCCACCTTACACACATCACAAATAAACATGGAAATGACTCGACCTTCCACCAAAAACCAAGGTCAAAAAGCCACACGTGTGTTGAAAGTGCAGGAGGCACGTGGAGCTGGTGTGATCAAAGCAGGTCAGTCTCTCACTGGGAATGATGTGCCCAACATCCTGCAAAAGGCAGCTGAATATCTGCCCAAAGCACTTTCAGCACAGAGATACACCAAGGAAGCTCATCTCTGTTAAGATGGAATCCTGAAGTCCTGAAAATCATCATGAATCATAAAACAAAAGCCAGTGAGAAGCAGCAAACCAGTTTAAACACCAGGAGAGACAAGATAATCTTAAAGATGTCTATCCTCCATACCATTAACTTTCCGTGAAGTCTACAGGAATCTTTCCATGCTCCAACTATGGTTTAATAAGGCTCTGTGTGGTCTCTAGCAATGAAGAGCACCAGAAGTGTGTGAAGACCTTCTCTGTCACACTAAATTTTAGCACTTTCATTTTTCACTCCATCTTTATTCTTTTATGATAACATCTACTGCACATTTGTGAAACATGTAAGAGCAACAATCAGCTTTCTTACATATTGGACTGGGATTTAATTCAAAGAAGTAGTTAAAAGGAATAGGTAGTACTAAACATTTCTGTTTATCAGCAGGAGTAAAACTAACCTACATAAATCCACTTCCTCAGTCTGCACACAGGGCAGGCTCTTCCTCAGGATAGTTTTTGGATGAAGTAGGTCATCAAAGCCAAACATTCTGGTTGGTTTTAGGTAACATAAGTCTTGAAAAGAAACCCTGACCTGTTAAACGCAACTGTTCCTTCAAAAATACGTTCTATAGTCTTTTCTTAAAGCAATGAAGCTCCACCTCAAAACTATGCAGGTTTATTACCTACCTTACTCCTCTTTGTATGAAAAACTGTTCAAGAACCTCACTTGCTTGTCTTCCAATTTCTATCCCATGTTAGGTCAGTCAGTTGTTACCCATTTATTCTTGAGCCAGCAATGTCTGGAACTCTCTTCACTTAGGATTTAAGAGTTTTATCTGGACAATGGCCATGGTCTCTTGCTGTGACTCTCAAATACAAGATCAAGCTTTCCACCAAACTTATGCAAAAGCAGCACAGCCCAGGACAGCAGTTCCAAGAGGTTCCTGGTCACCCAGAGGAAACAAAGGAGGCTCTGTGTGATGCCTGAAGTATAAAGCCTTAAAAACATAAAAACCTCACTAACCCAGCTACAACAAATTTGCCTCCCACATTTGGACAGAATTACAGCCTTTTGCATTGTCAATATAAATACACCAGAGGAGTAGGTAGAGAACCATATCCTTGTTGAGGTTTTTGTTTTGGATGGGACTAAGTACATCTTCCTCTTTTAGTTTCTCCCTCACAGGAAATCCTGTTCCATGGATCACACTAATCCTTCTGCAGAACCTTACAAGTATCAGTGTATCCCTCTCAAACGTGGACTACCAGAGTCATTCCCCAAATCCCACAAGCACCTGTAGTAATGGTTTGTACAACAGGATTAATACTCACCTACGTCAGCTACAAAAACATACTAGAACCTCATCTCATGGCTTTTCAACACAGCTTGCTCTCTGCTGACAGATTCAAGGGTGACTTGCTACTTAAAATAACAAAAAATATACAGTTTCAGTCGTTTGAATTATCACTAAAATCTAAAATGGGTGAACACCTCAGAGAGGAAACTGCTCTGTCTCAGCTTCTGTAGTTCGGGCCTCCTCCACAAGTGGGTGCAGTAACTCTATGTATAGGGACATTTTTAAAAGTTCCACCAAAAAGTATTTTTTTCCAAATTCAGTTGGCTGTAAGAAGTGAGAGTTTTGGCTGTAAGCAGTGGGAGTCGTGGCTGTTATGAAGCTGAAATGCCATTTGGTTAAACAAGGGCTGCAGTTCTGGTTTCTCACGTTGGTCATGCTGTCAAGGGGGGCAACACCTCTTGTTCATGAACAAAATTAGCTGCAACTGAAAATTGAATTTAACAATACAACGTTAGGTTTCTAAAGCCCTGTTTGGCTTCAGAACAGACCTTGTCTTGCAGCCCTCTGACAGGAAAGTTCTTCTTCTATTACAAAATTCCCACTGCATCATTTGAATTAAAAACACAAGGCAGCTCACACAGAAGCCTGGGAACCTGGCTGGCTCATTTAGGATTACATGAGCTCTAAGAATACACATTTTTAATAGTTATCAATGCAATCTTAAGAATATGTCACAGTGCTCACATTTATCAGCTGCCTTAACACGAATCAATAGCACTCAAACTATAAATTATGGGGAAAAACAAATGTTTGGCCCAATTCTGCTTTCTCTAGCAATTTTTGTGGACAGTGTTATGGGCTTTTGCTGGCAAATCATGCTACTTCTTCCATTTATTTCATGCTGGGGTCAAACTCAGTCATGCACAAGGCATGCCATTTATAAAACATGTAACTTTATTCCCATTGCTTATTCCTTTACTGAGTGGCTTCCTTTGAAGTCAACATCCAGTCATTCTTCAGTTTAAAAATTATCCTTTTCAGGAGTAAAAATCTTAAGCCAACTGAGGCCCGCGAATCAGCTCAAGAGAGAAGCCAAAGTATCAGAACTGTACTTTAATATTAACCCTTACGTATATGGATTCGCTTTTCTAAATCACTTTTCAGAAGACATTCTCTGATCCAAACACACATCCTAGCTGACAGCAACCAGATTTAATGGAAGCTCAGCAATGGTGTCCTAAAGCAAGCTCAAGATAAAACAAAATACAGGTTTTCTTATAACCTGCAAAAGGGACACTGGCAGTGTTTTATGCACGATTTACCCAACAGCACTTTGAGATATGTGTGCTGGTGACAAAAATCATTAAAAGCTACCAAGTCACTTTAAACTTGTGACTGAAACAAAAAGGAATTCTAGAAACAAAATCAATTAATTAGCAGAAGTTGATGGGAGAAAGGGAGAGGGAGAAAATGAGGGGGGAAATGTTTCATTTTTGTCATGGTATTTAGCAGCACGCATGACCCACTCAGTGCCAAGTAAAACATGGAAAAATAACTGCAGGACAAACAGCAACAACAAGGACTATCTTTCATGAGCAGAGGAGGGTTAGCAGTATCTCCACGTTCTTATCGAACTCCCAGACAGCTGTGAGGGCTGGGGGAAATGTCCCCAAACAGCAGATGGGAGAGCGTGTGAGGAAACACCGGATGGAAACAACGCCATGCAGGGACACACAGGCACAGAGACGACAGCAGAACCACGTGGCTTAAAAAAGAACATATTACTCAGTTATTACTTGACTTGGGACAAAACTAAAGGAAGGTTGATGACAAACTCGACATGAGCTGGCAGTGCAAGCTGCCAGCCCAGAGAGCCAAAGTGTCCTGGGCTGTGACAAAAGGAGCAGCAGGGCAAGGGAGGGGATTCTGCTCCTCTGCTCTGCTCTGGTCAGACCCCACATGCAGTGCTGCGTCCAGCTCTGGCATCCCCAACATAAGAAGGACATGGAAGAGCTGGAGCAAGTCCAGAGGAGGCCACACAGTTGATAAGGGGACTGGAACACCTGCCCTATGGAGACAGGCTGAGGAACTGGGGCTGTTCAGCCTGGAGGGGAGAAGGTTGTGTGGAGACCCCAGGGCACCTTCCAGTACCTGAAGGGGCTACAGGGAAGCTGGAGAGGGACTCTCCATCAGGAACTGTAGTGACAGGACAAGGAGTAATGGGTACAAACTCAAACAGGGGAAATTTAGGTTCGATATTAGGAAGAAATTCTCTACTGTGAGGGTGGTGAGACACTGGCACGGGTTGCCCATGGAGGCTGTGGATGCCCCAACCCCGGCAACGTTCAATGCCAGGCTGGATAAAGCCTTGAGCAACCTGGTCTAGCGGGAGGTGTCCCTGCCCATGGAACGAGAGATCTTTTAAGTTCCCTTCCAACCCGTTTGCACTCCATGACTCCACGAAACAACTCCATGCAGGGGGACAGACAGGCACAGAGACGACAGCAGGACCTAAAACAGCGACACGTTACTCAGCTATCCAGCGGCTCGGGGCAGGGCAGCGCAGAGCGGCGCCGCGGGGGGAGCGGCGGCTCCACCGGCAGCGCTGAGGCGGCGGGGGCGGGGCCGGTGCGCCCGCGATGGCGCCGGGCGGCGCCCGGAGCTGCGCGGGAGGTTCCGGGCCGAGCCGGAGCTTCCGGGAGCGGCCGCGCTGAGGGGCAGGAGGAGGCGGAGGAGGAGGAGAATGAAGAAGGAGCAGGTGGTGCACTGCCAGTTCTCCGTGTGGTACCCGCTCTTCAAGGCCGTCACCATCCGCAGGTGAGGGCGGTGCGGGGCTGGGGGAGGCGGGGTGTAGGGGAGTGGTGTGGGGTGAGGGTGGGCGGTGTGTGGGGCTGGGTGGGAGCGGGTAGGGGAGTGTTGGTAGAGGGAGGTGGTCCTGTCCCTCCGTTCAGCCCTGGTGAGGGTCTCCTGGAGTGCCGTGCCCAGTTCTGGGCTCCTCAGTGCGAGAGGGACGCTGATCTCCTGGGGCGGGTCCAGCGGAGGGGAGTGAGGGTGATGAAGGGGCTGGAGGGATGATGATGAAGGGAATTGTCTCTTACGAGGAAAGGCTGAGGGAGCTGGGCCTGTTCAGCCCCGAGAAGCACTGAATGGTCTGGGTTGGAAAGGACCTTAAAGATCATCTCGTTCCAACCCCCTTGCCCTGGGCAGGGACACCTTCCACTGGACCAGGTTGCTTCAAGCTCCGTCCAGCCTGGGCTTGGACACTTGCAGGGATGGGGCATCCACAGCTTCCCTGCACAACCTGTACCAGTGCCCCACCACCCTCCTATCTCCCGATATCTAACCTGAACTAAATCTAAACCTAATCTAATCTAACCTAAACCTACTCTGATTCAATTTGAACCCATTCCCCCTTGTCCAGTCACTACATGCTCTTGTAAATAGTCTTGCCCCATCTGTAAGTTCCCTTCAGGTACTGTGAGGACTGAGAGGGGACCTCATTAATGTGTATAAACATCTAAAGGAGGGTGTCAGAGGATGGACCAGGCTCTCCTCAGTGTTGCCCAGCAATAGGACAAGAGGGAACGGGCAGAAACTGATGCCTAGAAAGCTCCAACTGAATATGAGGAAGAACTTTTTTCCCATGCAGTAACAGCACTGTGACTTGTGCAGTACAACAGATTTCCCAGAGAGGGTGTGGAGTCTCCCTCACTGGAGATATTCCAGAACTGTCTGGACACAATCCTGTGCCACGTGCTCTTAAGATGATCCCGCTTGAGCAGGGAGTTTGGACCAGACGACCCACTGTGGTCTGTTCCAGCCTGACCTGTGATTCTGTGGAGCTGGGCTGGGTTGGAAATGGGCTTCTGTTGGGACAGGTTTGGGTGAAACAGAGGGGACCCATTCAGGGCAGATATGGGATGGAGGTGGGGAAGGCTTGATCAAGCCATCAACTGGAGTCCCCAGAGCTGGGATCTCGTCCTTACACCCTGAGGGGTTGTTTTGGGCAGCCTTGGGGCACACCAGAAACCCTGTACTCCCTGCTCTCCTGGTGGGATTCCATGTTGAGCACCAGCTGATGACTATACTGTTCCTAATATCCACATCCGACTATCCACACTGCTGTTCCTACTGGAAGAAGTTGTGGCTGAATAGATCCAAACCAAGTGGCTGACTTTGTGTTTCTGTGTATTTCTGGAAGCTGTAGGGAATTCCACAGTTTCTGAGGTGCTGCTGCAGGTCACAGGATGGTTACAAGAACTACCAGTAACTCAGGAAAGTCAAGCTTGAGGTAGCTGCCCTGTTGGATCAAAAAGTGCTGACATCAGGCTTTTAGTAATCAAAGTATTTGGTCTTTTATGTTTTTTAAGGTTTAGCACGGCTTGTTTTTGGTCAGTTTAATGATAGTCCGGCATTTTTGGAGCATTAGGATGGTATGGGCTAATTTTGGGTTCGATCTCAGAAGGGAAACCTTTAGTTTGAGCAACATATTGTCTCTTCACAGGCCACACACTTACTTTAAATTTCTTAAAGCTTTGAAGGAGTGGGGCATTTTTATATATTTCATCTCTAACTTTTGTCTCTTTGTCCTGTACTTCCCTGGAGGGAAAATTGGCATTGCCCTTTGGGTAAGGGATAAGAGGGGAGAAAGGGAATTGTTTTTTCATAGTGTTAGAGGATAAAACATAGTGTTATTGAAAAAAAACCCGCTGTTAAAAAACCAAATTCTTCTGTTCAACTAATTTTTTATTATAACAAGTACTATTAATAATAAGGTATTAAAGAAATTTTCCTGTTTTCTTCCAGTGTTATACTTCCCCTGCCAGAGAATGTGAAAGAATATTTGCTGGATGATGGAACACTCGTGGTTTCTGGAAGGTAAAGAAAAATGTTTTACGTTTTACATTTTACCATTTCATGTTCACAGCACTGTTTTCCATACACATATTGTATTTTGCATAATGAGGTTTTTAAATTTGTCCAGTCTGGCTGCAGTAAACCTCATACTGTATGAGCATGGGAATGGGGTGACTGTTGATAGTGAAACTTGATTTGCTGGTGCCTGAAGCAGATCCTAAAATCCATGTAATAAACTTCATTCTCCACCAAGTGGAGACAGTCCTTTCATTTTTTCCCACCTTTCCTTGCAGAGTGTCCCAGGCTCTGGGGTGCTCAGCTGCTGGTTTGTCTTTGGTTGCTTGGATCTGGTCAGGTCAGTTTGGAGGCTTGACCTGTCCCACGCCATCCCTGTGCCAGCTGCCCTATCCAGGGGTGAAGTGACATTACCTGAGTTTAATTCTCAATAAAATAAGCTGTATACAAACTCAATAATCCTAAGATTTTATGTAACCATTTGCACCCATACAATCCATGTGTGTGATGTGGCTGAATGTGTTGTGTGTATACCCATGCCAAGATTTTGGATTGAGAAGAATGAGGTGGAGAGATGAAAGAAAAAGATGTTATGAAACTAGGCCTTGCTCTTTGTTTTCTGCTTTTGGCTTCCTTGTGAAATGTTTGTTGCATGCATCTTGTTAATGATCAAACACAGAAATCAGTCCACACTCCAGAATTCCCTAACTGGTAGTTCATCTCTCACAGGCCAACCAGTCAGGCTGTGAGTGAAATCAGAGCTGTGTCTGATTTATCAGCTGTCAATTTATTTAAAACTGAAGCTGTTTAAATGCCTTGTAAAGAGGAAAGGTGTTTTTTAATTTTTAAATTCTTTTTTATTAAAGAATATCAAGGAAATTAGAATTGTTTTTTAAACCATTTTGGATAAGAAGTTGTATTGTCACCTGCTCATGTAGAATTGTGCAACTTAGCAGCAGCTGATTATTTTAATAAGCCTTCAGAAAAGCTGAAATTGAGGGTTTGACTTTACAGTTGTGCTGTACAAACAATTTCTGCTGTCTTTAATAGAATAATGTATGATTGACTTAAATTATAAATTTAAGATGCTTCCAGTTTAAAATCCCTTTTGGAAGCCATTTTTAATCTGAGTTCAACTTGCTTAGCTAGAAGTGAATGTGATCTTCTTGCAGTCAAGGCCAAGATCACTCCTGATGTTCAGTAAACCAGTATTTGACCTCTAGACCTCAAAAACTGGACTGATAGTTTAATCCTTACGGAAATGCACGGAGGGACTGCAGAGACTGAGCTTGTTAGAATTGACTTTTGGCAGGGATACACATTTGATCCTACTCTGGTTTGATGGGAATAAGTCTTCAAGAGCTCCTTTAAGATTCTTTAGGATCACAGTTATATTGGCTAAAGAACTTCAAAAGTCACCCAAAGCTTCAAGGGAATATTTGCAATCAGGTGCTTTCTCAGATATATTTTAGTGTTTAGAACAGATCTCACCTCTGTGGGAAAAGGAACTTTTCGGGAAGAAACTAATGACTGTTTATCCACTCTCCATAGGACTTTCTTTTCTGTGTGCAGAGTATGAGGACATTTTCTTCTCAGAATCAGAAATGCACAGGTCAACATCTGAAACTCAGGTTTTACGAATTTTTAATTGGAAAAGGAGTATGAAGGCAAAGCATAATTTAAACTAAACTTGTTAAAAAAAAAGTTTGTTTAATTTGTGCTTCTGTCAGAGTACAGTAAACCTGGGAAAGAATCATTAATAAACAGGGTGTTGAAAAGCTTTGATTAGGGTGTTTTTAGAAGAAAAAATGATCTGCTAATTTGAAAGAAGCAAAGTGTTTGTGGGAGGGCCCAAGCTTAATGCAGGGTGTTTGGGCTTTAATTTTCTATACTTGCTCTGATTTTTCTCTGCCAGGGGTTTTAAGGTTTACTCTTCTTATGAAAACAGTTGGAGATCAACAGCTGGAAATGCTGTGGAAATATAATGGAGATGGTCAAGTCAAACTCCAGTGCTTAATTTTTTTTTCCTGTTAATTTTTTGTTTCAGAGAAGATCCACCAAGTCATGCTCAGGAGGGGAGTGATGACACAGAAGAAATACAGGTCAGTGTAAAATGCAACTTAATGTCAAGTCTCTTGACAAAAATACGAATGTATAACCTTTTCTGCATAATTGTAGGTGAGGAGAGTTCTTCACAGAAATAATAATCATGTGGTAGTTGCCTTGAAAAACATGGAAACATCATTATTTATGCTGTGACATCAGGGAAGGTTTAAAATGTTTCTGTGCTCTTTCACAGAAGACTTTTTTTATTTCTTGATAATTGCATTTATAATAATGAGTAGGGAATTTTGAAGGATGTTGGAATTGAACTTAATGCTGTGTCATGCCCTGAGAAATTTAGAGTACATTTGGAGGAGTTACTTCAGGAACCAGTGAAAGTTTCTGAGGCCATAATAGGTCAGAAGAACGTTGTAGAAGAAAAACAGTGAAAGATGTAAGTACGAGATGACAGAAGAATGATGAAAAAGAAATAGAAGTGAAACTAATGGATCATGGGTCTAAGGGTGGAAGTGCTGGAGACAAGCTTCAGACAGGGAAGACTGAGTTTTGAAGTGTCCCAAGTTTGTGGTATAAATCACAGTTAAAGTATTTAGCTGTCTTTCTTCCATACTTTTAGAGTGACACTTCTGCTGAATGTACAGTATTTTTCCTGCCTTAATTTACAGCCAAAATAATTGGAAGATGGTGATGTTATGCTCTCTGGGGTAGTGATTTGATCTGTGTGTTGTAGGAGCTGCATGAATCCTGATCATCTCATAAATTATAAAAGATGCCTCAGGAATCCAGTAACCTTTGATTTGTTCTTGTTTTTAACAGTGGTCAGATGATGAGAACACTACAATACTTAAGGTAAGGTCCTATAAAAATTTAACATGGGTTTCTCAGCAGTTTTCCTTTTTGCAGCCTTGTGATACAAAACTTGTTGCTGGTCAGACATATCTCTTGCTGTGTTTGACATTTCAGGCCATTTTGGATGGATGGCTGTGTACATGTCTGTAACTTCAAAAAAGTTTTGCTGGCTTAATTTAACTAAAAATAAAACGTTTTTCTTCGTCCCCAACAATCACACACTTGTTAGACTATAGGAAATGAACTGAAGTGAAGCTCTAAATATAGCTGGCTTTCATTTTCACCACTTTGAGTATCTCCCAATTATTTAATCAGGCTGGATGCAGAAGAAACGAAGCCCCTGCAGCTCAATTTTCACAGCTCTTCTCTGAATGTGCCATTATTTCCTCCTAAGTACATTTATTCCTATCATTTTTTTTATTTCTCCTGTCTTTATGGTCTCCTTGCATGGTGCCTGGCACAGAATCAGGATCATGATGGGTGCAAACCAGGCTTCCTTGATCTTTTTTTGCATCTTTTTTGAAACTTGCTGTTGCCCTGTCACTGCCAGAGTTAATATACTCATGGCACTTCTCTACCATTGATACTGTGACTTCAACCCTTTAGCTCCCTAATGTTCATGGGGTGGGATTGATCACCTTGGATTAGGTGCAATATAAAAAGATGTGATTTTTCTGATTTGATGACCCACTTGAGTCGTCAGGTAGAACTTGTCTCCCTTGCCCCTTCTATATTCCGAAGAAAAATTAGAATACAGGATTATAGAAAATTCTGTGTTTAAAGTAACTTGCATTAATACTGGTGTCAGGCATTCAAAATTTAGGAAATGTTAGGATCTGGATTGTTTGTGCAGTCATAGAACTTTCCTCTCATGGGTGTATTTATTCCCTTGTGTTAATCAAATGACACGTTGGTAACTTTTCCCTAGGGAGGTTCAGTGTGTGATACTACCTATACAGTAGGACTCCTGATTGCTGCCAAAACAAGAGGAGATTGGATCAGAATGCAGTGGATGAAGAGTTTTACTTCTTGCAGGAACATTTTCTAGAATTGACTGAAGCTCTAAAGATGAAAAATAAGAGAAGCACTTTTTTTTCAGTTTTCAGAGTGTAGTTTCCCAGGGAGACTAGGTAATGTACTAAGGAAAGGTTCAGAATATTTGAAGTTCAGTCCAGGTCATTGCACTAAAATGTGAGAGGGTTTTTTAAGTGTTTGCATTTGGGAAGGCTGCAGTAAGGAGATGCCAAAATGCATGAGGTTTTTTGATCACTTGTGTGACTGTGAGGGCTTTGTTGTTTTAGAGACATCAATTAGCTTTAGCCTAGAAGTTATCTTTGAATTCAGTTTAAAAGTACTGAGACAGTATTCTTGCTATAAATCTTATCACATGAAAAATCTCTGATATATGCTCAAAATCCTTTTATATTATTTTGAGGGTCAGCAACCTGGTTTTTTTCTATAGCACCACATTCTGAGTGGAGTTTAGAGCATCCTGAGGAATTGTCTCCCCCATCTTATGTTTTCAATGTTCTTTACAAGGCAAGGTTTTCTAGTCCAACCTTTGCAGTGTGTCCTCTGTTTTTAGTCGATATATTGTTAAGGAGCTATTTTAAGGCCTATTTTAAGAGCTGATTAGTTAAGGTATTACTTTATATAAAACAAGGTTTTATAAAACTAAAGCTTAAATGAGGAGCTGTTATTCAAATTGTCCGTGAGTTGATAGAGATGCTTAATTCTCAAATAAATTTTTAAGTCTAAATATTATTGGGCCTTATTTGTATACAATAATCTACCATTAAGTATAAAAAAACTGGTAAGTAATTAAGGTTTGGTTTTTTTGACATTTGTTTGCTGTTACAGATTTCATGATCTGTGTTACAAAGTTTCAGGTTTTCTCCTGAAGTTCCTGATACTTGTTAGTGATGAGAGTCAGAACTGGAAACATTTTCAGCTTTCTCTGATTGAAAGAATGTCAGATTTGTTTATTAAATAATTTATTTCCACAAGGACATTATTTTTTGTGGGGTTCATACTGATTTTGGACATGTTTATTTCTTCTGCAGTACATATTTCTAATGGTATTTAGAAGATGGCTACACTTCACTATTAAATGTGTTGAAATGAATATTTTTGTTGTTTTTCTTCGTTCAGGCACCAGAATTCCCCGAGTTCACATCTAAAGTTGAGGAAGCAATAAGTTCCTTGGGTGGAAGTGTTTTTCCTAAACTTAACTGGAGTGCTCCAAGGGTAAGAATACTGACTCCCAAAACTTCTAACAGATGTTATCATGGGGGTTTTTTTGTTTGTTTGTTTTATCTCAATGCATTGAAAAGAAGAAGAGACCAGTGGTTCTGATAAAGGAAGAAGTGATAGACAAGATATCAGTGGAGTGTGATCCAGCAAACTCTTCTGGTGGATTAAGACCAGGTGGTGGTGGTGCATATTTGGTGAGGCTAATGCAAGGCCACACTGACTTTCTTACATGAAACCCTGTACCCTGATCACAGATAACAGTGTGATGGTCAGCCTCTTCTTATTCAGGATACTGGTTGAAAACTGCCTGGGTGAAGATGAAAAATCCCACATTTTTTAAAAAGGCAATAAGCTTCCCTCCAGTTATTTTTAGGTACTCATTATACCATAGGGATGAGTTCCCCCAAATATTGTTGTATCATATTCTCAAGAGACACTGTTCAATCAGACATTCCAGGAAAGTTCCTGGAAGCAGTAAGGCAAAAACTTAGTTTTTAAAATAGATTTGCTCTTCTTTCAACATGGTATTTGTAGGAAAAACAGTAACTATTGTGTCTCTTGTAACAGCTAATGAAGTTTTCCTCAAAATAAAAAAAACAATTTTCTGTGTGTATTTCAAATGTTGTGTAATATTCAGATACATCTTCAGCTGCATTCCTTCCTGCTTGTAAAGGTGCATTTCTGGATGATCTCCTTCTTTGTTTAGGATGCCTACTGGATAGCAATGAACAGCTCTCTGAAATGCAAAGCTCTCAGTGACATCTTCCTCCTCTTCAAGAGTTCAGACTTCATTACTCGTGACCTCACTCAGCCGTGAGTACATTTCTAGTGACAAAATTATTTATACCAAGCCAGAAAAACAAAGGCAAACCAGGGAGATGATAAAGTAGCACATGCAAAATGACATTGTGGGCTAAAACCTATTTTATTGAGTTGCTTTCCACAGCAAGTGATTACCATGTCCCTTTCAAATTTTAAAGCTGTTGAGGTTTGTGTGGCTGCATGGAAGAGGCCTGAGACTGCTGCTAACATATTTCTAGAGCTCCTTCTGAACCCAAGTTCTCGTACCTCTTGGAACAAATGCATTCCAGGAACTGTGACTAAGGATAATAGTTACAGATAAAATTACAAATATGATGTGCTTAGAGTGTATTTTTATCTGCTTACATGAAAAGAGCACTTAATTGTATAGGAGCAGTTTCCTCCTGTAGTACCTGCATCTGATCGATTTATGCCACTCATTTCTAAAATACAGCATTTTTCTGAGAGAAAATGAAATTACTGGAGTTTAATACTCCTGTCACTATGATTACTATTTTTTTTTCAGACAAGCAGAATTTCAAAGAAAAGGGGAAATCCATGGCTTGGTATCTGAAAGCTTGTTTTTCAGTAGTTAGTCAACACTTATTTGTATTGCTGACTCAGTCAAGTGCAGAATCCTTGCTCTAGGTGCCTTATGGAGGGTTACCAAGAGTAAGAGTCCCATGTCAAGTGGTTTATGACTCGACAGAAATTTCCTTGTTTAGAGTGTGAAACCAGTTGCATTAGTGCCATGCAACTGCCTTCTTTTTTATTCCTGCAACTCTCTTCCCCCAGTTTGTTGATAAATATAAAACCAAGAAGAGATAAGTAGCAGCATCTCATCCTTACCTCTGCATTTATGGAGTGCTAGTGAGGTTGCCAGGCCAATTCTGGTGTTGGGTTTTATGTCATGTCTAACCTGCAACATTGTGAGGTGCAGGAGAAGAGAATGAGGAGGAGGGGAGAAGATGCTGGAGTGAGAAGACAGTTTGAAAAGTATGTTGGGCTTGGGAACCAGTTATGAGATTGAGAATTTATGATTCTGGGATCGTAGAGAATGAAAGAGATGGGCAGATGAGAAATCTATAGTTTACATTTCAGAGGTGAGTAAATAGTGATTCTCAGAAGACTTTGATGCCTCACCAAGGAGCTGCTTTTCATGGTGGTCCTCTAAGGAGAAGTGGACTGTCTTGGGGGATGGCTTTCTCAGCAGGTTGAGTACTAAAATTTAATGTCTCCTTTGTTGTCATGGCTTTCAGGACTGAGTTTCGTGCATCTGCAAGGAACTGCACGCTTTGTATCAACCCTTCGTGAATGCTAAATAATACAGGTTTTGTATTCTGCTATCCTCATGTATAAAGAGGTACAGCAAAAAGTACCCTGAGCTCCTTGCAGAATTCCTGTTTGGTTAACCACTTCCTAGGGAGTTGGGGAGGCAACCAAGTGTTTAGCAAGTCCCACTTGAAGATGTGGCAACTCTGTGTGTGTTCATTTGTGTGGCAGAATGAACTGATCCGACCACCTTCACTGGCACTGAAATCAGTGCATTTTCTGTCAGGTTTTGTCTCCAATCGGGTGTAAGTGCCTGAGCTGTTCACCTTGCCCTCTGCAGCCAGCATGGACTTGGTGGTGGAGGCAGTGAATACATTCTAGTTCCTGTGGTGTGAGAGTTCACAGCATGGGTGTTACCTTGAACCATCAGTGATTTCGCCTGAAGTTCACACCAGACTAAGAGCAGAAGTGCATGAGCAGCCTGGAACAGGCACAGTCCCTTCTACTGATCCTGCTGTGGGAGAATAACCTCCAGCAGAAAGGCAACACCTCAAATTGCAGGGGCTCAGTCCGTTTAGAGATCCTTGTCCAGGCTGGTAAGACCACACACCCCACCAGACAGCACAGCTCAGCTAGTGGGTGGTCAGTAAGTAAAGGTTGTGACATGATTGTGGGAAATCACCTTGATCTCTATGTATCTTATATTTTATGAATATTTTGTACTTGATCAAAGCATCTCTTATTGTCCAGTCTGTGCATGGTATTTCTAAATTACTAAGTTATTGGTACAAAATGTCCCCAAACAGTGGAATGATTATTGCTAAGTCAGAACAGTGGTCTTCCTTAATTATGCTATTGATTGGCTGCCAGTTTCCTAGTCCTTAGCAAGCAGAAATTAAAAATATAGCTGGCATAAGAACCTGAAGTGCTGAACAAATGAAAATTGCATACATAATACATCCAAATCCCTTGGAAGGGCGACTTGGAGGGAGGATAAATGCATTTTGTTTCTACTTCTTCCATTAATACTCAGCATGGTCTGAAAGTTTCTTGCCTTGCATAAGTAACAGCTGAAATGCTGTATACCCTTTTTGTTGTTGTTTTGTTTTCTGTTCAATTGTATGAACTTTAAAATCTGCTTCATGGGTCATGATACAGTAAATGTTTTCTGCTGGCAATTTGTAGATCTGTTTTTTAATCCAGAAATTTTAAGCCAGTGATGTGAGACTTAAGGCAAAGTGCTTTCCTTGCTTCCTCATTCCTCTCCCATTTCCTATTTGCTTCCCTGCTATCAATCTATGCATTGTTCAGGTCAGGGAACTGCCCTTGCTGTGATTCTCAACCATCTCAAGTTCTGAGAGAACTTCAGCCATGCAATACTTCAATACAAACCATTAAAAAATATGGTCTTTATGCAGATGTACTGAGGATGACCAGATAAGCTTTGACTGTTTTAAATGTTTGGATTCTCTCATGATGTTGACACTTTGGTTGAAAAGTTCAGACTAATGAGTTAACTTTCCTGCTTGTTCATTTTGTATATATTAACAAAGACTTCAGAGTAATGCACTCATTAATGTAGTTGACGTTGTTTCTGCTTTAAAGTCAGCATTGTGTTTTACTTAGCTGTGTTCACAAAAAATCGTGTGGGTGGTGTGATCCTTAACTTTTCAGGTTTTAATGTGGGCTTTCAGAAACTTAGTGTTGTGGATGTGTGATTAATAAAAAATCCCTTTCTAACTGGGTTTTCTGTTGAGGGATTAAAACTCCTCTTTTCAGCAAAAATCCCTTTAAAGCCTTGATGAGTGTTTTGGTTTAGAGCACAGTTTTCTTCCTTATTGTTAGAATGGGTGGACTATGTTTTGTTAAAACATGAGTGATCGCCCACCTTGAGACTGGTAGAAATTAGCAATATTTCTAATGATCTGATAATGCCCCTTCAATTATAAGATAAGGTTGATATCGTACTCATTAATGAACCTTAAAAATTTTTCAGAGGTTGTCCCTGTTCTACAGGATGGTTTAAATGCTAAAGTGTTCTTATTTTTCCAGTTGTTTAATAATCACAGCTGTAGAGGTGAAATAAGAAGTCTTGTAAGTTTAGCCTTGTTGAAAAGCAAACTAATGCAGAGAACTTCTTTTCCAGGGATTGACCTTTGACTTATGACATTCAGTCAGCATGAGATCTATTTTTTATGTATTTAGGTGTTTATAAGAGGGTTTCTCAATATTGAATTCCAAATTGTAAAGAAATGATGAAGTTTTTCTGAGATGGGGAGTAAAACCTGTGTTCTCCTAACAGAACATAGGAGGCAGTGTTGGATCATGAAGATGTGCCTTGGCACTCCAATACCTTTTAGCCAGAACAGTAGCTGTTGGCTTAGGCTTTAATATAACCTGTTTCAAGGCAGGCACTTACACATGAGAGGATGTAGAAAATGAGGCCTTTGATGATTTTTTTTTTCTTGAGATTTTACTCTCACCCTGTTCTTCTGAGCAATTTACAGTGTGGTACAAGATCTGCTTTTGAATGGTGCTTGAATTTCCTATTTCTTTTAGTCCTTAAAGTTCCAGGAAGTTTCAATATTCAAGGAATAAAGATACAGTTCAAAGGCTGTTAGAAGTTTCTCCTTTGATTTTTTTCTTTTTTTAATTAAGCTTTTAAAATAAGCTATGAGATGATAGCAGGGAAGTGTCAGGTACAGAATAAATTTTACCATTTTCATCATATTCATAATAGTTCCTAATTATCCACAGAATACCCTCAGTGGTTTGCAAATGAGTTCATGGCTTTCTTAGCAGGGTAGGTACTGGGGATTTTGCAAACTTTCTTGAAATTGCTTTTCTCAGTGTTGAGAACTGAACTACATAGTGGCTTTGTGTTGTGTGTCCTGTGGTCAAGAATGTGCATTTGGAGTTTAAATACAGCTGCTACATGTAAAGAGACCTTGGTCCTTCTGCTCTTGACATCTAAGTATAAATCTGTAAACAAGCTGTTGACCACAGCACAGGCCTATAAGCAAAAGAGTTTGACCCCTTCACTCTTAATAGTATTGAAAATGACAGTTTTCAGAGGTTTCAGAAAATACAGCCCAGATATGTCTCAATTTGGAGTTCCTGAAGTCTTTCTGATTGTTCTTTCAAGTACCTCCAGACCCGAGTAGGATGTGGGTTAAAGAAACCCCACTAAGTCTTTCGCCTCTGGAGATCAAAGGGCCACCTGTAATAGATGAGTTCAGATGGGTCTAAACAATTAATGCTACAAGAAACTGGTAAAAACTATACAATTGCAACCTCAAGTTCCCCAAAATTTACCCCCAAAACAGGAGTGGTAGTAATGTCCTTTTGTTGCCAAATCCTCGTGATGCTAGTTATAAGGAAAATAAGACTGCAAAAACATTATTTTATCTTTCACTGTATTTTCCCATTTTTTCCTCATTTGTACTCAGTCCTGTGTCATTAATGCTCAAGAAAAGTACCCTTACTGGATCTTGCAGTGTTTTTGCCTGTACTCATAATTTTGCCTGTTTGCTTGATTCTGCAGCAGTCTGTGGGGCTTGGGGTGGCACCCAAGGATTTAATGTTCTAACTTACAAGGAAAGAGGAAGCATCTTTCCCCACACAGCTCTTGTCCAAAATATTTGAGAGTTGAGTTAGAGGATAATTTTGATTGTTCATTAGGCTGGAGTTTTTTGACTGCTGGAAAAGACTGTGTGTTGTAGGACTGAAGCAGATTGCAGGTATCCCAATCTCAGATATGGAAGTCTGAGAGACAATGCAGGTCCTAGTGTGCAGAGACTGTAAACCCCCATATGCTGGACTTTAGCTGCCTTTTTATATATTGTTTATTTTGGCTTTGGGGGGGGATATTTTCCTCAGCATGACAGGCATATATTCTAGTAAGGGAGGAATTCTGAGTCTCAAAACTGTGAGTTCTCATGGGTTTGTTTTTCTTGCCTTGACAGATCTTAAATTGTGGGGAATCCTAACTGGAGCTGAAGGTTGTTATCTGTTTACCCAGGCTTACAGATATATATGATGTGTTTGATCACAGAGCTTTTGGAAAGCTATTGCCCTACTTTTCTGGGTGTTGTGGATATTAAAGTCTAAACTAAAACGTGTGAAGTGTATTTCTGCTGGCAGCTCACAGAACGAACTCTTACAATTGCGCTTCGCTTCAAACCGAAGGCTGGGCAGCCACGTCTTACAAATGCAGTGCTTATGTGAGACATGGGAGACTTCTGGGTTGCTCAGTGAAGTTCACTGCCAAGAGGAGGTGGTATAAATGTTGCATTTAGGACTATTGCTCAGCAGTGACCCTTTGCACAGTTCTGTGCATCCGAGGAGTTTGTTGCCAAGGTCGGGGAGTAGAATTGGAAGGAAAATGCATGTTCTTCTGCAAATTCCCTTTGGGAGTTACAGAATTTTTGCAAGATTTGCTGTAAAAGGCACATGGAAGTTGACTTGGGTTATAAATGCCTCCATTCTTGATAGTTCCTGAAAGGAGGCACACGGAGTCAGCTACTCACAAGGGACAAAACCTTGACATCTGCTTGCAGTTATGGAAATAGTTTTGTTTATTCCCTCTCTCAAGAGATTTGTAAGAGTATTTCTTAAGGCTCTTAATTTAGAAAGATCCTGTGCTGTGGAATCAGAAGTGCCGAGCAGCAGCACTGTTTTGCATCCTTTATTCATGGAAATGAGCTGCTGTAAGGCATGATGATGTGTCTCTGTTGTGTGGTTTGGGAAGTTAAACATTAAAAGTACTCGGGAAAACATGCTGCAGTGAAACTGGATTAGATTGCTCAAGTTTATCTGGTTCTTTGAGAATTCAGTTATGCCAACATAACAATGCAAAGGGAAAGGAGCAGCACTATTGATTCAAACAGAAATAAATCAATAGTGAATAAACACTCACATTTTGGCCTCATCCGTGTCCAGGTTTAAGTGCTTCTAAATGGCAGTAGAAGAAAAGAGGTGATTTTTCCCCCCGCCCCGATAATTGTCAAAAGGAGGTTTGTTATTGATATATTGCGTTTACTTGGTTTTTACATGTTGGAAACAATTTAACAGTAGTTTTTGTGATTCACAGTTTGGGGTTATTTTTCTCACTATGGCTAAAATATTACACGTAAAGCAGATTTTGATGCCCGTGCCTTGCTTTTCCAGATTTACTCACTGTACTGATGATTCCCCTGATCCTTCCCTGAACTATGAGGTAGGACTCTTTGCATGATTCCTAAGTAATTTTAACAAAATGCTCACAGCCTGGGTGCTATTTGTGCCTGGATGCATGTCCATAAAATTTGTTGTGTTTGTTTTATTGGTGTTGCTTGCGCAGTGAGGGGGAGTCTGGTTAAGCACTGCAGGTCGTAAGTAGTTCATTTAATTGCAGATCAGGTGAGCTAAAGTGCAGGCTTGTGAAGCTTCCTTGCAATTTCCTCTCATGTCTGTCAGGTTTTGACAGGAAGGACAAGTTGAGTAGCTGAAAGTCATAAATTCTTGATGGTGTGCTGCTTGTGAACATCACACTGAGGTTACTGAGGGAGAAACTCGCTGCAGTGGCTGGGGACATCCTGAACTGAGGTGTTCTGTCATATCTTGTTTCATATGTTTGTTACCAGATTAAAATGTTCAGCTAGACATGCTTTAAACTGTTAGCGTGGAGCTACTGCTTTTATGGTAACATTTAGTCATCTCTCTAATAATAGTCTTTATGTAAATATAACATTTGTCATCATCCTGTGGGCTTAAAGGGCTTTAGAAAAGTGAATGAACCTTTTTTTTTTTTTTTTAAAGCCCTATCTAGTTTACTTTAAAGATACAGGACATGTGAAAGCTGGAACAAAGAGTTCCATGTTTACACTGTGGTTAGGAATGTCATCTCTGATTACGGAAGGTTTTCTGCTGCAGTCGATGGGTGTTGGGAGTTTCCAGTATCCAGTAGCTGTAACTGGGGCCTTCAAAAAAATGAATCCTTCTGAATACTTCAGCTGAGGAAATGCAGAAACTTGAGGAAGTGCCAGAGAGATGCTTTAATTACCAGGCAGTCTGTCCTATGGACTATAATAGTTTGCTTTCTATTTCTGTCCTGTGTCCTTGTTTTAACTGGTTTGCGCCTTCAAAGGCGTCACAGAACTCTGCTTGGGTGTGTACCAGAATAGAGGTTGATTTGGATAAATTTAATTCTGCTCATCAGCTCCTTTGACTAGGGAGCAACTTTGTGCCAATTCCATGACAGATTTGTTGTGTTGTACAGCAGAGTTTTTATTTTCCATGATTTATCATTAATGTAACTTGGAAGTTGATTCATAAACGATTTCACAGTTATAAATACTGTGGAAGAGCATAAGATAATTAAGGTGGGAAGGGGCCTCAGGAGGTCTCTAGTTCATTCTCATGCTCAAAGCCAGATAAAAGTTCAAATTGGCTTGCTTGGCATTTTATCAAATCTGGTCTGAAAAGCTCAGTGGGTGGAGGCTGCACAACCTCCGTGAGGGAGCTGTTCCAATGCTTGACAGTCCTCATGGTGAAGACATTTTTTATGTGCAGTCTGAGCCTTTCTGTAGTTTGGACTAGATGGTATTTAGAGGTGCCTTCCAACTGAAAGCATCCTTTGATTCTCTGAAATGGATATTAAGTCTAATTGGAAGTATTTGCTAAAATGATTATGTGAACTGCAGGTTAAGATTGTTTTGCTTTCTTGTATCATAGGTCATCTTACCACTACAGCAGAACTGTAGATGTAGATCTGTTGACAAAAAGTTACCTGTTACCTTTCTGAGACAATATTTTGTCATTTGTTTTCCCTCTACAGCTTGTTCTTCGCAAATGGTGTGAACTAATCCCTGGTGCAGAATTCAGGTGTTTTGTCAAGGAAAACAAGCTTTTAGGTAAGGATCTTCTTAGACAAATTTATTAGATGAAGTTCTGAGTAGTTTCTCCGATTCCTTGAATGAGAGCTAAATCTGAAGACAGTTCTTGCTTGTCACACCTCATTTCTGAAATTAATGGTTTCTTCTTTCTGTAATTTAAAGTGTGGTGTGCCGCATTTCTCTATCCATTGTATTTGAAAGCCTGACAGCACAGTGTGCTCACCATTACAGGGAGAATGTTCTTAATTTAATTGTTAATTCAGAAACTTCACCCAGAGGCTGTTTTGTGAGTGATTCTTTTATATTCAGGAGCAAATTGTATCACCTCCGACTTGCAGAATGAACACAGAGCTAAGACATGACCCCATGTGGATATTACATGCAGAAAGTTGGGGAGGTCAGAACATCTCCACAGGTGTCTGAGGTGTCTGAATTCATGTTATAATCAGTGTAGCTTAGTCCTGTTGTAGTTTAGAACCCGTTGTTCTGTTGCTCTGGTTCGAAGTCCTAAATGTAAAACATTTCAAGTGGCACTGAACAACCAGGGTTTCCACAGCATGCAAAGAGCTGATGGGCACATTGGGAGACTTCTGGCAGCTGGAGAACAGGCAGGTTGTGCTAGAGCATGTATTTTAGGCAGCTCCTTGGCTAATTGAGGGTAAATTTAGCTGAATTACACTCCTCTGGTTGTGTAGATTATTCTCTGTTGACTACAGCAGGAGCTGAGACATCCAGTGCACACCCAGGTGCTTGAATTGAGTGGTTTAATTTCAGGCTAAGTACTCTTGTGGAGTTTGAGTTTGGTTTTGGTGTGGTCTACCATGGAATCTTTAGAGATGAACAGAAATGCAAATAGCACAGGATTGGTGCACAGTTGTTCTTACCGAGGTTGAATCATTCTGCCTAAACTCTTCTAACAAGGAAATGTTACAGCAGTGTTGTAGCAAATCCAGACTTTACAGGAAGGAAGGTGATTTTTTTGCTTTAAGATAAAACCAGGTTTGCTCATTTTGTCTATCTCATACCTACATATTCACAAACCCCAAGCTCCATGTCTACAAGTGATCTATCCAGGATACCTTGTGATGATATGGAAGGCAAGGGATATTAACTGTGTAATACTCCTTGTTTTTCCTGTCTTCCTCTCAGCATTGTGACTGTAGGCTTGTTCTGGATGTGCCTTTTTTAACCTGTGAGGAGCTGTCAGTAATTCATTGCTCCATCCAGTCCCACCTCTGTGAATCTAGGAATGCACTCCCTGGTTTTTGTTTCCTGATCTGAGCGTCCTATGGAGCTGCACATGGATGTTTTGAGCTGTGCTAATCCAGGTGCTGTCAACACATACCATTCTCCTAAGCCCTCTTATTTGGCTGTTTCTTCTGATGCTCCTACACTTGTCTTCCCATTCTCTCTCCATTTATGCCAAGTGCAGGTTTCTTACAGTTCCTGTTAGCAGGGTTTCTCCATTAGGTCAGGATTGCTTAATGGCTACTGACAGAGCTTTTTGAAGGGAGAAGAGCTGAATCCTGTCCTGTGCTGCTGTGAGCACCACAACTGCCAGAGATACACATCACTGTAATAACCTCTAAAACATTTGAATTTAGTTTTATTATAAAATATACATAGTAATATTTATTTTCAAATACCTCAACCCATTTGTACACTGGCTAATTAAACACTGTACATTTCATGACTAGGATTTGAAACTGTAGATCTGCCAATATAGTTTTTTTTTAGCTAGCGCTCCAGCTGCATTTCTGAAGATAGTTCCAAGATTTTTCATAATGTGTTCCCATGCTTTTAAAATTAATGAGCCTGTCAGTCAAGCTAAGGAGTGATAGTTGCAGTGTAGTGAATGGTTTTCCAGTTACACATCTGCCTCCCCTGAGATGCCATCACCTCTTGGTTTTTGTTTTTTAGACTCAACTTCAGCTCTGCAGTGATATTAAAAAGTCCAAGTTCCACTGACATCATGAACTTTTTGTATGAACTTTTTTAGAAAGAGCACATCTTTGGAGGGAGTCAGCATTGTCTTACAGTAAAACAATCTGTGTTTTGTATATGGTTAAAATAGCAAACTGACATCATGGATAAATCTTTTCTAGGGGATTCTGGCTTCTTCTGTATGTAACTAGCCTGAGTTACTCATTCTTCAGTGATGGGGCAGCTCTTGGATTTGGCTTTGTGAAGCAGGGTATTGCAATGGCCTGTGTTGACACATCCTGTATGAGAGCTGTCATTCAAGATGGATGCAAGTGTATAATCCTGCTGATGTCATTTTAAACTGTTGTCTTGTAGACAAACAAGTGTGTGAAACTAAGAGCTTGTGATGTAGCTGGGAAGTGTCAGATAGGCAAGAAAGCCCTTGAGGGAGTAAATGAGAGCAGCAAGGTACTTGACTGTGTGCCATCTCATTGATTTGGGGATTTAAGGTTTCACCTGTAGTGCCTTATCAAACAAGCACCTGTTATTCCACACTTAAAAAATTGGTTAAATGAGTATCTGTGGTACACTAGGATCTATCATCCTTGCTAATGTGCCAGCTTAGCCTCTACCTCTTTCATTTCATGGTTCCAAATTGTGGTCCGACTGCTGATGTGCAGAACAAGAGTTTTGACCACAGTAACCAGAGAGAATAAAACTGAAAGGAAAAGACAGGAACTAGAAACTTAAACAGAGGTGAATGTTCCCCCTGGAATTCACTTAAAAATAGTCAAAGAATGTGCATATAAAATGTAGGACAGGACTGTTCAAGGACAAGATTCCTAATGGAAATACTTTAAATATAGGAGAATAAAGCTAAAGAGTAAATCATTGGCGATGGTTGAAACCTGGGAGAACCCCATCTTCTGAAATATAAATGATCACATGCATGTGCCTGATAACTGCATTATTTCAGCTTGGGTTTTTTGCATGCCTAGAGCCCTTTATAATCAGCTGAAATCATTGACAGGTATATCCCAGAGGGACTACACCCAATACTATGACCACATCTCCAAGCAACATGAGGACATCTGCAGAGCCATACAGGAGTTCTTCAAGAAACACATACAGTATAAATTCTTGGATGAGGACTGTAAGTATCTTAAGGAGATCTGTGGATATGCATCTCTCTCTTCGCAGCTCTTGCTTTCCCAGGGCTTGGTCCTGTTTAACTTGGGAGAGTCTTACAGCTCTTGTGGCTTTAGCATCTGGAGGAGTGAAGGTTTGGAGTGGCTAGAAAATTGGCAACAAAAAAACCCTGAAGGAATAGGCTGGAGCTCTTCAGGAAAACACAGTAAATGAGTGAAAGATCCCTTCAAAAGGCATAATGATTTTTTTAAGGTGTTTTGCCCTTATACTTGAAAAATTTTATACCTGAGAAGTAAAGTAGGAGATGCTTGACAAAAAGCATTCAGTAGTAAGAAGAATACTTGTTTATAAACATAAAGATGTTGCTGCTAAATTATTGGTGTAGTTCTTGAATAAAGTATTTTAAAGTTTCTTTTCAAGAAGTTTTAATAATTTCTCTTAGAATATTAATGCACACCGGTCTAGGTGCTGAACTTTTTGAATAAAGGCCACAGTATTTGATACACCTAAGCAGCCCAAGTAAATTGTCTTGTTCTTTAAAAGTTAAGTCCTTTGCAAATTTTACTGGAAATAGTTTCTTGACATGGTTTAGTGAGAATAGAATAGTGTTCCATTGTGATGGGTGATGAGTAGTGGTGAAAAACATGGGGAAGAAATTTAAATTGGGTCTGGCATGGACCAAACCTCAGTTCAGTAAAATACATAAACATAAGAGTTGTCTGGTAGTTGTGTTGTCTTCTCTAAAGCTTTGAAAATTCAACCTTTAGGTAAGTTTTGAACATGGTTAGTTGTTTGGCTGAGCCACCAGGGCAGCCAAGTAGATCTGTCCTCTCTGACTGTTTGAAAAAGATACCTTCTAGTACCAGTATTTGTTATATGAGAATTCTTAATAATTTAACTCTGCAGAGTTCCTTTATTTCTGTCCAGAGAAGTTCTCAAGGACCACTGCTTGGAGAAGAGTAGCAGTCTGGAAATCAATACAATAATTTAACAGGTCCATAACTGTGTGTTTTGAAGTAAGATCAGTCATATAGATCTGACATTCTGATTACTGTCTTTTAATTTTCCTCTATGTTCCAATGTAATTTTAGCTGGTATGTAATCAACTGATAGATAAGAATTCAGGGCACTATTTTTGGAAATTGATGCCTAGATTTAGGCTCTGAAATTGCTGCCTGGTGAACTGAAAGGTCTGAAGTGTCATCTTATGTAAAGGATGGCATCTGAGTTACCTTCTGGGAAAAAGAGGTTTCAGGGTGACCTTCTGGGATGAAGGTTTGTTAACCTTTTGTTCTGAGGTGCTAAATGTTGGTCCATCTGCAGAGAAATGTCATGCAGAAAATGTTTTCTGGTTTTTTGTGGTTTTTTTTTTACCACCTTTCATTTATCCCCCATCATCTCCCTTGATCTGGTAGCATATGTGTTGCTAACAATAAAATCTGGCTTTGCTTGTTTGTTTGCTTTTAAAAGGAAAGGTATTACAGCTTTTTTTCCCGACTTCTTGTTTCGTTGGGGATTTTGATGCTGTTTGCTCTGCTTTTTCCAGTTGGTCTGGTACCATCTCCAGATGGAAGAGTTGAGTCAGAGCAGCTGAAACATTGCAGAGTCAGAGCAGTAGGATAACAGATGGGTGAACACTTTATAAATACTTCTAAATTATGTTAGAACCTTCTAAATACCTTTCATAAGAGCCCAGTAAAACAGTGCTCTGGAGGTACTGGTACTTGCTGTAGAGCTGGGCCTTGGCTTACTCTCTGTTTGAACAGTTTCTGGTGAAGTTTTACTCCAGTCTCACTGGCACAGGACAGTCCTGCTCTGAGGTGACCCTTAAGAAAAGGGAAGAGTTCAGGTTTTTTCCTCTGTTCAGTGTTTGTGAGTGTCCTGAACTAGTCCCCAGCGTGCCATCAGTCTTGCCAGGGATGTGATCCCACTAAAGGCCATTGTTCTCAGGGACTGCCATGGTCTTGATTTAATCTGACAGCCCTCACTTGATAGAAAAGCTTACTCAGATGCAAGTGTTCCATATGCAAGTGGGATATGACTGATGAGAGGACATGGTACAGGCACCAAGTTCAGTTGCACAGCTGGAGAAGAAGTCCTGGGGTTGCTGTGCTCCTCTTTGCGTTGATGACTGAATTAGCCACCGAGGGCTTCTCTTCCTGAGAAGGCAGAGCACTTAATCCTGGAGTGACATTTTAAATTGACGCAATGGAGCTTGTGCCAGAGCTGTGTGGATGGTCAGAACCAGATACGTGCCTGACTTTGGCTTTGTGGAGTTGTGGTTTGCCCTTAGCCCAGCCAACCTCACATGAAATGTCAGATTAAGCCTTACATGGATGGTTGTGATCAATCAACATTCCCTGTTCCTGACGGGCAGCTTCCTGAGACTCAAGTGTTCTGCAGTCATATCCGGAGTTTAGTTTATCCACATGTATTGGGAAATCTCTTAGCTGAAATATTCCCTTCCTTATTCATGAAGGAAATGACAATACAGCATTTGTCTGAGGCTTTTCTAAAGCTTTCGGGTTTTTTTTCTTTTCCTTTTCTTCCTGCTAAACTGGTACAACTTTTGCATGTGGCCATGCCCTGAATGCTTATCTGTGGATTTCCCTGACTCAATAGAAAGACAACCCAAGGATTTGTTTAACCACACAGAACAGCAGCTGATAGAAAACTGCACGAACAGAGATTCCTGTTCAATTAAGCCAAGGGGAGGAAGAGCAGCAGAGCCAGGCTCTGTGTCAGCCACCGTGTCAAGGGGGCTGTTTGAAGGAGTCCTTGGTAATCAGTAGGTGTGCTGTGTCTGCTCTGGGTTACATCAAACATGGCACCCACCCCTTTGTTCTACAACCTCTTTGTCTTCTTAGCTGCTGAGGGCCTAATCTCCCTCAAGCAGGAACTTTCTCTTGTTAAATGTTTGTGCAGTGTCCAACACAGTGGAGTCTTGATCCTTCCTTGAAATTTCTCCATTCTGCTGCAAATGAAACAGCAGCAATGTCAAAGATAAGCTTCTCTCTGGGCTTAGAGTTTATCAAATGTTCTTCACTGGGGGGAAAAATCAACAGAGGAAACCAGCATTAAATGGAAAAACCCGGCAGCCAATCTCCCAGTGCATTAACAGTGGTTCTGAAATGTTTCAGCTCCCTCTTGGAAATGAACCTAATTCTGGCGTGCAGTTCTTTAGACATATTGACTTTGCAGGTTGTGCTGTGTACACAAGTATCTATTCAGATTTAGATGTCTTGAAATATATATTGTTGAAGATTAACACTTTTTTTCTCCTTTTCAGTTGTTTTTGATGTGTACAGGGACAGCAGGGTAAGTGAACAATAGGTTGTATATAATTGTTTATTCTGTGAAAACACTGAAATGCTGAGGTGAAGCAAGTAATAGCTTTGTCTTCCTAGAAGTGGTTTTGGGGGAAAAACAAAAGAAACAAACAAACAAAAAAATCCCACCAAATCATAAAACCCAACCAAACAAAAAACCTCCAAATCCCCAAACAAAACCCCAAAACCTGTTCAATGTTATTATTTTCCACAGGTCTTTTTCTATGTTAAGCACTGTCTACAGTAAAAGAATAATAGGATTAAGGGTGTAAATATGTCTGTGCCAGTGAATTATTTACCATCTTCCAGATTATTAGTATCTTCCAGAGAAGCTGTTCTAAAGCAAAGAACTTTGGCTTCAGCTGCAGTTCTGTCAGTTCTGTGAATCTACTGAAGGCAACTTAGTTTTCATTATGACATGGAGAGTCTTTGCTGCAGTAATTTAGAGTTGAATCGACTATTTCAGTTGGAAGGGACCTACAACAATCATTGAGTCCAACTGCCTGAACAGTTCAGGGCTGACCAAAAATTAAAGCATGTTATGGACAGTGCTCTCAGGCACAGGGTGGGATTCTTGGGGCTGTTCTGTGCAGGGCCAGGAGTTGGACTCGATGATCCTTGTGAGTCCCTTCCAACTCAGGATATTCTGTGACTCTTTGATTAAGGGCATTGTCCAAATGTCCCTTAAACACAAAGAGATTTGGGGCATTTTCTTTTAAGATAGATATTTCCCTGGGCTTTATTTTTTTTCCCACCATGTGTTATTTTTCCTTATAGGATCTGAGCTCATCAGAACTTATTAATATTTCTTCAGATTATCCATGTGAGGTTGGAAAATGGTAACTTGTGCTTCATGAATGGAAGCCTATGATATGAAGGGATAATTGTGAAAAGGGAATATGAATGTGGCATATCCAGTTTGTGACAGAAGGAAGCCGATTTTTTCTTTTCCAGCTGCTCCAGCTGTGGTTCTGAGAGCTCGGCATATCAGAACCCTGAACATCCAAATAGTGATGGAGTTGGGGAGAAATGTTCCATCTCAAATATTTAAAAGACACAGATGTGGTACTTAGGGATGTGGTTTAGTGGTGACCGCAGTGGTACTGGGTTAGAGGTTGGAATTTATGATCTTAAAGGTCTTTTCCAACCTTAACAATTCTATGAACGTCATGTGCCAATATCAGAGTTAGTCACCTTGACTTCTCCCAGTGCTAGTGGAGAGAAATACTTGGTCAGATGAATTGTGCTTGAAAGGCACACATGTATTGTTTTAAAAGCAACTACAACCAAAAATGCATTATCTAGCCTTAAATGTGAAAACCTGGCTTAGGGAATTGCAACCTGATTTAGGGAATCGCATTAGTGTGTGAAAATTAAGTGTTTAGCTTAATTTTTTTCCAATCCTAAACCAGAAATGCAAAAACAATAGCTATAGACTTTTGTTCTCTACATTTCTGAGTCTCACTGTTTAACATGTTTACAATTATGGGATTGGAGAAAGTCTTTATTTGAGTTGAGTTGGGAATATTGGTAGTAACTCCTGATTCTGAGTTTGAATGTTGCTAAACTATTTTGGAATTGTTTAATAGTAAATCATGCCCATGGCTTGCAAAACAGAAACTAAACAGGATGGTTCCTCATGTGGAAAACAACTAGTGTACTGTTTCTCAGCACAGCTTTTAATGTAGGTACCTAAAACCTGAGGTAGGGGCTGGGAACAGCCACGCTGTAAGGAAAATTACCTGCCCAGGCTCAGCTCCTCAGACGTGAGGATGCTGTCAGGGAAAATGAGGAGCAGCACTTCAGCACTGAACCAGACTCTGCTGTTGGGTTCTCTGCCTCATAGCTGAGGCATGAAAACAGATTATTGAAGTAAAAGATTTCAGCCTGTGGGGTCTCAAATGAGCAGTGTTTCTTCATCTGTTAAGATAAAATATATCTGTTTGTGGACTTCTCTCGGTGCCTTTTACCCTCAGGTTTTGTAAACTGCCAGATAGCCCTTTGTGTGTCAGATCCTCCTCCTTTCACACATACTTCTGTGGTTTGCAACTGCGTTATTCATCTCTCCCTTTGTGTGTTAGTTACAGGCAGCAAGAGAATATTGAGTGTTTGTGAGCGTGATTAATTTCCAGAGCCCGTGCTCCTCATCATGCTGGTTGCACAGCAACCTCACCTACAGAATGAGAGAAATGTCCACTGTCTGCTTGTTTTAAATACTTTCAGCTCTAAATATTCAGCTTGGAAAAGCAGCTTGTTGTTTGATATGGTTGTGAGTGAGAGCAGCCTCCTTCCTGTGCTTGCTTCGGTTCCTTGGGAGACTGGATGGAGTTGGATGCCACAGGTCCTGCTCGCTGAGATGGAGGGTGGCAGCTCCCAGTGGTTGTGCAAGAGCTGGCAAAGCCTGAGAGACAGCTCTGCTGTTCTTTGTTTTGTCCCAGGTGTGACCAATGAACCATGTTTGAGACAAGTCACTGTGGTAATGCAGGGAGATGCAGTGAGTGGCTCCAGCCCACTGTGGGCTCACAGCTCTGGTGAACGTGCAGTCCAGTGCTTGTGTCTCTGCCTTGTGAGTGTTGTCACTGTGCAGGAAGGTGCAGCTGGAGTTAGGGAGATGTAACAGTTCAGTTTGCATTTTATCTGTCTTTAACTTCCTTTAAGCAGTCTGTGTCACAGGCACTTCCTTTCAGCAGCGTGCTGCTTAATGCTCTAGTAAAACAAAGCATGCAGCTGGCATGGTGTGGTAAATCTATTGGTTCCTCCTTTTAGGATGAGAAAAAAATCTTATGTATTACAAGTTGGGGGTTCTTTTTTTCCCTTCCAGATATGCACAACTTTGTTTTCCTGGCTTGTGCATTTCTTATGGCAAAGATTACTAGAAGCAGGCAGAAGATGGCAGATAAAGAGCTTTACTGCTGTTCTTTAGATACACAGTGCAAGTCATCTGAAACTACATTTAAATCATGACATTGCATGTAAGAGTTGAAAGAGAATTTAATTTTAGAAAAGACAGTTTAGTTACTGACCCAGGGTTATCCACGCTCCTTTTAATGAGCCCTGAAAAGAGATATTTAGTTTGTTTTGCCACTTCTCATCAATTTGCAGCTACCAAAGCTCTGTGCAGATTTAAGACCGTCTCAAGGAAACAGCTGGTGGTGTAGATGGGGCACTGCTGCCTGCAGGGGTGGAGAACACCGCCGAGTGCTCACAAAAACCGTGTTGCTTTCAGGAGTCTCAAACCCAATCTTCAATTTTTTCCAGGGTACATATCTTCTCTAGAGAAATGATCTTGTGTTCCTGTGAAAATGCTGTTTGATGTATTTGGGGTGAAGAGGAATCTCTCTGAACTTTCGTAGGGAAGTATTAAGTATTACTGTTTCTGATCCAAGGAAAGATTCTCTGAACTGATGAACGAACTTTGCAGCCATTGCTTCTGCCTGTGATTAAATTGGTTCATTAGCTTGTTTTTCCAGTGTGATAGAGTGAATCTAAAATCCCAGATTAGTCCTCGTGCTGCCTTGGAGCTAACAAGACATCCCCATTAGCAAAAGTAAAGCATGGCTTGTAATGACAATTTGTGATGGCCTTTTGAGGAGGACCAAAGATGGGAAATGACAGCAGATGTTTGCCCTGCTGGCTCTGCACTGATGGTGTCAATATTAGTGCAGAGGTGTTGCAACTCAGCCATGCAGACTTGGGCTTCTTCACCCTTCCAAAACAAATAAGAAACCACTCAGGACTGACCCCCCTCATTTCGCAGTTTCTTTTGTAGCTGTCTGGTTTCAGCACTGCTGGTGCTGAGGTTTGGCCTCTTAAAATTTGCTCTGGGGGAGCTGTACCCGTGGGCCTGCCCTGAGAGAGAGAGACCTGTGAAACCCTGTGTGCAACTACACACCCACTGGCTGAATGCTGGCTCAGCTCCAGTTTGCTGATATTTCAGATAATATCACTGGTTTCACCTGTGCTGGGACTCCCTGTACCTGCACGAGGAACTGGCTGTGGATGGTAACAGAGCAGCCAGAGCCCTTCTGTTCTCTATCTCATGGGTTTCCGTGCATTTCCTCTTCCACAGTGTATTAGTGCCAGTGGGATAGCTCAGGTGTGTGGGTGGGAGAGGCAGTCTCCATGTTACTCTGTGCTGAAGGCTGCAAAAGCATCTCTGTGAGTTAGAAACCAGATGGCTGGAGCGTAAGTCATTGAAGATATTTGCTGTTTGAATCAAGATGGGGAAGATCTTTTAAAGAAAGAAGATCCTTCAGTAATGAGGGAAAGGAAGAGAAAGCAAGATGAATGGTTAGTAGCTACACAGTCTTCAGGTTTGTTTTCCAATTCCAGTTGATCTTTAATAAACACAATAAACCTCTTCAGTCCTGCTTATATAACTGCAACCTTTTCCTTCCATATTTGATAGAACTGATTTCTTCCAGATGTAATTCTTGTTTTGCAAATTCTTACTAGCAGCTGTAGTCAAATTTCATTATAATTTATTACAATGTTTTGTTTTATTAGAATAGTTGACACTTCCTTGGGTAAGGAAAGATGGTCCTGTGCTGGGGGTTATTTCTTGAGGTGACTTAGGGAACCAATTTCTTCCTCCTACACATGTCTCTGTTACCTTTAATATGTCAGTCTCTGCTTCCATTTTTCAGTTGTGTAGCAGGAGTGCTGTTGTGCACACTACACAACTGTTTGGAACACAAAAAGATTAAAGTTCAGGCACGAGAAACTGGTCTGGACTTCTAGTAATGGCTATGTTAAAAATGCCTATAAGTTATTCTGTATTTATCTGTATTTGTAGAGTATCTTTGTGCTTCCATGAGCTCCATTAGCCTTTTTTAGACCCTGCTCTGTGTTTTTGGAGTCCCTTCAGAGACCAAGAACAGCAATTCTTGTGGAAAACTGAGTTTACAGTAGGGCTGAGGTGGCTTTTGATAGAAAGCAAAATCCTTGTTTAGGTGGTTTAGGTTCATTTGTTTGGTTGTGTTTTAGGTTTTTTTGTTTGTTTTTGTTGGTGTCCTCCCTTATTCCTTGTTCATGCTGTCTGGGGATCTTGGAGGACCATGGAGATTAAACAGAACTTCTGTGGCACCTGGCATAGAACTAAATGCAGTTTATTTGAGCTCTATTTGATATTTAAAAAAAAAATACTTAAAGTAAATTAGTAAGTCATAGCTTGCTGTGATTTAAAACTGTATAATGTAAAGGATGTTAGACTATATAAAGTGCTTAAAACCAGGTAGTTTGTTTTGATATCTTTTTATCTAAAGACTAAGCATATTGTAATGATACAAGTGTATGTGTATTCTGATTTTTTTTTTTTTAGTTCTTTTCTTTTGTTTTAATTCTGTGATTTGTTTTAACTCTTCTGTGCTTCCTTTACAGGGTAAGATTTGGTTAATAGATTTTAATCCATTTGGTGAAGTAACAGACTCCCTGCTCTTTACATGGGAAGAACTGACCTCTGGGAAAAACCTGAAAGGAGACCAGAGTGAAGGGGAAGCAACAGAACAGGTGAGGGAGGCTCAATAATGTCCAACAGCAGTTATGGCCTTTTTTTTCCCCTGTCTTCTGCTCTTATAATCAAATTGTGATGCAAACCCCATTTTGAAGTAAATGGAGGTCCTTAATTCATGACACCTGAACTCTTTGTAAAGCAGAATCTTCCTTATTAGCCAGTAGTTATATCCCCACAAGTATCACCTGCTAGTTTTAGATGCCTGCAAGGGAATTTTTGGTTCAAACAGTACAAGCCCATATCACAGCTTGGACCCCTTTGCAAAGAAAACACCCTGAAACTTCCTTTTACACAGTTCTGATGCTCTCCTTTCAATTTTTTCTTAAAATGTATTACTTTCCTATATAATCCCTTAAATTTGCGTTTTGTTCTTGATGTCTTGTCATACAGTTTCCCACATCTCCAGCTTCATGCTTGAGGGGGGAGTCAAAAAGAAGCTTAACTTCTGTCTCCCCCTCATCTCAAATACCCTCAGGGAAGCCCTGTCCTCTGGTTGAACTCCCTGGACATGCAGAGCAGTGCTTTTCCATCTCTCTTCCAAGCAGCCTTGCCTCCATAGAAACAACTTCCCGTTAATATAGAGAGGGAGGAATAGTCTTCATTTTTTGTATTCCAGATTTTTTTTTCTCATGCTTGAGACAGAGTCCTCACATCCTAACAACTCCTCGGACAGCCGGATGGGAGATGGAAAGTAGTGTGTTAGTAGATCTTGGGAAACACTTGGTCGGTTTTGAGGAGAGATATCTAAGTCAGTGTGGGCTTTTATTTTCTAGCTGTTGAGCTGCATTAGAGGGGACTGAAAAGACGTGCTTTATTGGAGCTGAGTTTAACATTTGAGCTTTGCTTTAGTCCTGTGGCCATTTCCATAACACATTGACAGGGAACATCACTCCTCAGGCTGTCGTTCAGGCCAGTTTCTCTGTCTCACGCTGTGACTGTTACTGTATGAAAACCCATTCCATGAATCTTCCTGCTGAAAGCTGTGTCTCCTTTGTTAAAACACTCCCAATTCTTGAGCTGTCTGTGGGACACCGAAATTTTTGTTTGGGGATTTCTTTTTCTCTGTGCCAGACGCTTTACACAGTTTTTTGTAGTGCAAGCCTGTGTGAAAAGTAGAATAACTTGTCTTCATGTTTCAGCTTATATCCAGTCACAGAATCTGGTGTGAAGTTACTGATTTTCTCTCTTTAAAATGAAGCTCCTTATTGCTGTACAGTGGGCAATTAAATTGCATGTCAATGTGTTGAGCTGAAAATTATATAATTACCCAAAACCTGTTGCTACAGTTGAGCATTTTTGGCTCTTTTACAGAGATATTTTTTCCTTCAGTAAGTAAATTGGTTGGAAAGCTTAGATTATAATTTCAGTAAGGTTATAGTTGCAAATGTGTTTAAACAAGGAAACTGTGAAGACAAGTTTGGAGATTCTTTCAAAAAGATTTTTCTCTATCCAGATACTTATGTAGCTACTATTGCCCAAAGTTGCTTATAGCTCCATTATTACAGCACTGTTCTGAGCACAGCATATTAAATACATTAATAATTGATACATTGTAGGAACTTTACAGCGAGGGAATGAAAGCCGTTAATTTGACTGTTTAATGTGTTTGACATTTTAAATTGCTCTGGAGTGGGCAGAGGTTTTAAGAAGAAAACTACAATTTTTAGAAAGCACAAGTTTAGTTGAATGAATGCCAGATAAAGTCATTGGCAACGTGACTCAGGCAGCCTCACGGAGGAGTTCAAAACATTTTGGTGTCTTTCCCAAAGGATTATCCAGTTTTCCGCTGCACGAACAGTAAAGTCACTGTCCAGCCCAGTCCATACCTGAGCTACCGACTGCCGAAGGATTTTGTGGACCTTTCTACAGGAGAGGATGTTCACAAACTGATCGACTTCCTTAAGCTGGTAAGAAGTGGCAGGAAAAATTCCTGACCTGCCATCCTTGTCAAATGGAAACATCAAAGTCCCTGGAACTGTGCTTTTGTAATTAACACAGATTATGTAATTATGGAAAAAGTAATGTATGAAGCCATCACACAATGGATTGTTGGGCTAATTGTTTTTGAAGTGATGGAGAGCAAGCTTTCATACTGATCTCACTTCAGTTAATTGATTTTATCTTTATGGGAAGGAATGAATGTAGTTTGACACATCTTACTGAAGATGTTTTCTTTCTAATTTTTTAGAAAGATGTTTTCTAATTTAAATGCAATTGTAATACAAATAGAAATGTACTTTTTGAATGCCTGGAGCTAATGCTTTTAAGAACCCCTTTAAAAGTTAGAAGGTAAGTATATTAGGAAAAGTCCCTAAACAGTTATTCCTTTTTCAATACACTTTCTTTATTCTTTTGATGAACAGTGATGTGAAAACATGAATCTTTGTAAGGTAGGGAAGGGAGGGTAGGTTATCTGCATCTTGATCACTGGCTCTTGCCACCACTGTCATGTTTTCTGGTTCTTGTATATTCCATTAGTTAATGCACAGGGCAAATCTTGTTCTTTACTGGAAATAAAATCCTGTAGTTTAGGATGAGGGCTGATATTGCTCTCTTCCATTTTCTGGAAACATTATCTCTCAGCATTCAAAAAATGACTTAGAAATGCAGTCATTGTCTAATCCATTGTATCTGAAAACACTTGTGATGATTTATTAGTGCTCTTATTTCAGATAACTGTGTCCTAACATTATGAACTCTCCTGTTCTGTTGACAGAAGAGAAATCAGCAAGATGATGACTGAGGTACCCAGAAGCATTACACTGAATTACAAGCAAGAAATGCGGCTAAAGCTATATTTAGCATAACTATTAAACTATTGATTTAAAGAAAACGTGCTTTTTATAGTCAATGAAAGAACTGAAGAGCTGTTCATCCTCTGTGTCTCTTGGTTTATATGAAAGTGTAGAAAAGCTTTTTCAGGGAAACATGAGAGGTCAGGGTGAGTTCTCACTGGATTCCAGGTGCAAGCAAGCAACAGTCTGAGTGCAATGAACAACTGCTTTCCCATCTCATATTGTGAAGACTGATGCCACTGAGCTCTGCCTTTGGACTCTTCACTGATAAATATGGCAACATGTAATGCTTGTGCAGTTAAAACATCGAGCATCCTCTGAGTTTAGGCACAGTCTTGCTTAAAATATAGCCACAAAGAAAAAGGAATGTACATTTTTATCTGTAGTAACCTTTTAAAATTGTAAATTGATTTTCATTTGGGAGCACTTCTTGTCCTTTATGTAAAAAAAGAAATAAATAAAAAAATGGAGAAGGGATTTTTTTCTTTGAGGGCTAATGCTTCATTTCAGAGAACAGGTATAGCTGCAGCAGACTACTTAAGGTTTGAAAATTTTGCATATCAGGACTTGGAAATTCTGAATGCATTTCAAGTAAAGTATTATCACAGTCACTAAAGCGATGAAATTCATTAAACTTCACGAAATTTCATTTTATTTGCATAGAAAAACTTTCCTGAAACCTATTTTTGTAACAGGATTATATACTAGACATCATCTGTGACATTAGTCTACATAGTTAAACATAACATCAGCCTATAATTTTATATTCAGACTCATTCTTATTTCTTTTGTATCACATCTCTGAGCTTCCTAAGAACATGATTACTCTTTTAGCTCTTAAAATGCTGTATTCATTTGGTGGCAGTTCGTGTTTTGTGCCTAAGTGGAAACTTGGCTAAATTTGGGGAAACAGAAGCTCTTGTTACCAATTGCTGTTATTTGGGAGGTGGGGTGGGGGAACAGGTTCAGATGAAGAACCGGTTGACTTTTGGACACAGGTGTTTGCATGGCATCAGTCATTTCTTAACAGTGTGCAGAGTTCCCATTGAAAAAAAAAGGGCATTTGGAGATGCTCAGAGCCCCTGGAAATTCGTTCTTGTTTCACACCAGTCATGTGATACTCTCTGTGTATGATGCCTGCTCAGCTGGTGTTACAAAAAAATTCAGGAGCCGTTTAGCTGGGGTGAGATAAGAAAGGGTTTAATTATGCCAAGGCAATAGATGTTACGACGCGCGCGCCCCAGGCTGTGCCCGAGATGTTACATTTATAGTAATATTTGGCCAATCCTAAGTGTGTCCACCCTATAACTTTTGGCCTGGTCCACCCCCTGGCCCACCTCTTGGAATTGGGTCTGGGGTGCTTTTTGGGACCCTCTCTTCATCATTCTTCTTCTTCTTCAGGGTACAAAGAGCAGAGTGACCCAGTTCTTTGACTCTGTCCTGCGGTTTAGGCCAAGATACAAGCGTTCTCCAAACAAGACAGGCCTGCCTTGACTAAAAGACTAAACATTTTCTACTAGATATGGGGGTAGGGTGATAGGGGGGTATGGAATGGGGTGAGAGGATTGAGGAATGTAAACTAAGGGATACTACGGGGAGGAGGGAGAAAGGGGTTTATTTCTAAAATCTACTTCTATTACCTATAAAACTTATAAGGTAGAAAAATAAGAAAATCATTATGGGCTTAAGGCATCAGTATATAAAGCAGTTCATGTTTCTTTGCCTTGCTTTTGCTGTCAGTTTGGAATGGTGCTTGGTTACAATCTGTTCTTGGATGTTAAATCTGAACTTAGATGTTAAATTATTACTTAGTGTCTTTATTTCACTTCACTTTTGAATGAAAAATTACTCTAGTTGAAGATTATGCAGTTTAAGAATCTGGTTCTATGAAACACATCGATGGAACATCACAGACTAAAGCTCCTGGAGTCAGTACAGGACATGCCCTGCCTTTGAAGCACTGGAACCTGCTTCTCAAGAGCCTTTTGTACACAAATTACATGACCATTAACTCAGGGCTGGGCTATACCTAATCCTGCCATGTTGTAGGAGTTTGGATGAGTGTTTCTCACCCTTATCAGAGGGATTATTTGAGTATAAATGTCTCTAAATCAGGTAGGAACTTCAAAGTGTAAAAAAATCAACAAAGCTTTCCTTTTAAAGTTTCTAGCCATAACTTAAACTGATGAATGATCTAACCACACTTCCTTTATACAGGTGATGCCCTGAAACTTCCAATGGATTCATAAATGCTTCTGAACTACAGATTATTGTCTTTAAAAATACAGAGTCTTGTTTTAAAGCTGTATGATAGTTTCCTGCATCTTTCATGTAGGCTCGACAAATTAATTTACCATTATCTCAGCTTTCTTTGATGGATATTCACCAGAACATACACAGTGATGTGACCACTTTGCTGGGACCCTCTGCACTCTGGAGTGTCCCTGTAGGTGAGTAGGCTGGAGTTTTTCTCCCCTGTGATATGCTGACAGATGCCAAATCTGAATTCATGGACTGCTAAGCCAAGCTACCAAACACTGATTTATTTTGGAGTTGCAGGAACTTCTCCCACTTCCTCTGGGTTTAGTCTCAAAGAAGAGCCATAAAAGGTAGCAGAACAAAAACACTAGTCCTATGTTCATGTCCTGGCACAGAAACAGTCCCCACTATAAAAATCTGTCCTGCATAATGAGGTCCCCCAAAATACCATGTCCTTACAGCTTAAATACTTACTTTAGATGTACTTTGCTTTTTTCCTCAACTTCAGGTAACCAGATAGTGATTTTGTTTGTCTGCTAGATTAAAGAATGCTCTTCTAAAAGAATTCTGATCCCATGTGACCTTTTGATCTGCAAGGCTAATGAATGAACATGCTCCTTTTGGGGAGGCGAGGAAGCTCATGTTGATAGACTAAAAATGCTTCAGATCAGTTTTACACTGAATGTTATATGACACTGTTCTAATTCTGTTTCAGGTCATCATAAAAGCAGTTTCTGGCTCTAGCCATCATACAGAAATTTGAAAAAAAAAAATTCCAATTGTTCAGGTCCTTGTTCATCACGATTCAATTGTATGATCACCATTTGCTGAGCAAGGGCCAACTATAGACTATATATTCTTAATTATATGCTTAAAACACTATATAAAGACACTTGCAATCTCATCTAGATGACAAACATGAGCAGTTTTAGAGGGAGGTAACGTGCAAGTCATTTTATACAGATCCTGTGCTTGCCAAACCCTTCGCAAGCCTGTCTGTGTCTCATGGCTTGAGCAGGGAGAATTCAGTTCTTGGACTGCAGCTCTGCCAGGAGTGCCAAGGAAAATCCTGATTGTTCCACAGCCAACACTTGCGATATTTAATCTCCCAGATGGATAGAGGGGATCAGAATTACAGTAACCCCGTAAGTAGAATTTGTTAACCTGTACTGGCTTAGTTCATGATTTGGAATAACACTCCTGTACTTTGGGGCTGCAGAGTATTTGTATTCCTCTGACTCTTCTTTCTCCAGTGTTGCCCACCAGTCTCTTATTTGGTAAATGTTAAGATCAGAATTGGCAGCAGCAGCATGGATAATACTGATCTGAATTTTAAAGTCTCCCTCTGTCCGCTTTTCTCTCACTCTTACAAAGACATGTTTTTGAGTGGTGCTCCATAATATCTAAAGAAAACCCCAACCCAAACCCAAAGAGTAGGGGAGTAATAGCCAGCTCTGATCTCAGTAAAATCAATAGCGCTTGTTGGAGTCTGGTCACAGTGTATGGTCTGTACAAATCCACATAACTGCATCAGACACCCTTAGGTAGGAATTAATTTCATGTATCTCATTGTCATGCACTCCCCTGTTGCTCATGTCCAGGAAGCAGAAAAAAAGGTACCCTGTGAAATGCAGTTGCCCATTTGAGCAACAGAGACCATTAGACAACTGTCATGGTTTCAGGCTTTCAGGTGAGCACTGCCAGGTGAAGGGACTTCAAAATAGGTCAGTGGTGGTGTGGAGATGGGTAATAGCAAGGCACAAACCTGTGTAAAAATACTTCTGATGCCTCTGTGCACGAATGAGTTCGGCTTTCACAAACTGGTGGAGCACAGGGTGTTTGTCAGTGAGTATAAACAGGCAAATCAGCTTGGCAACTGGTGATTGATTTCAACCTTCAAGGCCAAGAGTATCAGTTCCAGTTGTGTTTGGACACGAAGTCTATCAGTTCCAGCAATAATATTGAACTAAAATACGTATTTTGGGCCAAGAGAGGATGGGCCTTAAAGTGTAATACAGAAGCAGACCATAGTGCTTTTGATTCATAAGTGATACTTGTTAACACTGATGTTTAGAGGCTTAATAAACCTATCTTAGCAAAAGCTTATCTGGATGTTAAATTAACAGTATTTTATTTCTATTTGAATTTGATGACCTCTGTAAAGAGAAAGTCTCCAACTTGGGGTCATCCTGAAATTATATAGAGTTAAAATAAGACTTGTTGCCATAACTGGGGTGTTTTGTGCAGACCTGAAACTTTCTCAAAGACACAGAGCCCTTAAGCAGTTATGTGTGCTAATAGATTTTTTTATAGTAAAAAGGACTTTGGCACTGCAGTAAGTCTGGTTTTGGGGGTTTTGGTTCTATTTTTGGAGGAAGAGGAGGAGGGAAGTTGAGGGGAGAGATTTCCCGCTGTATTTGTCTGTGTGAACTATTGCTGCAATGTACTATCTGGGTGCCAATAGTGTTTTAACTGTTCTAAGGTCCTCTTAATAGCTGACCAGGCTTCTTCCAAGGATGTGTTTTGGCAGCTTGTAGGGAAAGTTTGCTTGGCTGGTTGCTCAGAAATGCTGAGTGCTCAGAACCTTTCTCCAGGGAAGCATGCTAGTTACAAATGAACTTTCAGGAGAGATTTGTGACTCCTAAACAGCATTCCTGGCCAAGAGAAAGAGAATAATCAATACTTGTTATTTCTAGTCTTTAGGGCTTAAATGCAGCTGGTGGAGGGGCTTGAAATTTTGGGTTCTGTCTTAGCTTCTGCTGTGAAACTCTGTGTCCTGACAGACTGTTGCACTTTGTTGACGTAAATGAATTATTCATTGGAGCTGGGACTGTAAGATCCAGGAGAGAGAATGAGGCAACATGTGAAGCTAAAACGTCTGTACACCAGTATGAGGAGTACACAGGAGGAACTCTTTGTCAATATATGTCAAAAATGATTGCTGGGCATTGCAGAGACTTCGGGAGATAAACTGCAGCACTGGAACAGAGACTTTTCGCTCAGGAAAGGCTGGAGAGGCTCGATGCTGAACATCAACAGTCTGTATTACCAAAGCTTAGGTAATATGGAATCACAGAATGGTTTGGGCTGGAATGGACTGTTAAAAGTCATCTAGTCCTCAAACAATTCCAGGAATGGGCCATTCACAACTTGTCTGGGCACCCTCTTCCTATGTCTCACTGAATTCATCATGAAAAATTTCTTACTTAGTGTTTAA